GGAAAACAATCGGGCGACTTTTTCAGCGACCCGTTAACGCCCGGCATTAACGCAGCCGTTGAATTTAATTAATGTCAGAGCACAACGCGTCGAGCCACGGTGCGCGAAGGCTGCGCGTCAATTTGATCGAGGCACGGACCGGACAATTTGTCCAGCTTTCCCCATTAATTAGAAAATGCATAAAAAATTCGAAACGACGTAGAAGTCCCGCGTTATCGCGCTCCTGCATACCGATAATACTAGCGCGAAATATTGCGCGTATTGACGGGCTAGAAAGAGGGCGGGATACGAGCAAACGCGTTTCGTCAAATTGACTATAAATCGCGGGGAGACGTTATCGCTATGCGGTGTGCCACTCGATAGGACGGAACGCCTACCCGCATCATTTTTTTCGGGTAATCTGAATATCGATCCGCAGTATATCACCCGCTTTCGCATAATTTTAGCCTCCCCGGCGATACCCGCACCGCATAAACAACGGGTCTACTAATCCTGACAAACAACGTTTCCTACAACAACACTGTCCAAACAAATTTAAATCTTTCCGATTTCGTCGTTTTCAATTAAAAAAAAAAAGATGGAGAGCCAGTGTTTGATTTCACAAGATCTTTCGAATCCTTCTTAAGGGTTAATTTTCACGATTTTTAAACACCGAGGGCGGCGAAGTTTTACTTCCAGTTTCGTGTTTGGGTCGAGAAACTCCGCGAGGTTTGAAATTCCTGTTGGACAGCGTGTAATCTGTTGAGCGCCACTCCCGGATGCACACCTTTAAGAAACTTCTCTAAGCCATCGAGACGAAAAGATTTGCATGGAAGAATCGAGAGGGGGATCACGAAGAAGGAACTCGTTCCCGAATTAGCTTAATACGGATTATTTCGAAAGGCAGGGGTTTAGGGATGCATCTGATTACGCGAACGAAGCCGTAACGCTACCAACCCCTGATACGTTTCGCTCTCGAGACTTCCTTCCATTTTCTGCTCATTCAATTTCCAACCCGAACCGCCCGGTACAGAATTCGTTTCTCTCCTTTTACGGGCGGAACATCTTTGATCGTACCGCGGATAAGAAAGGATTAATCGATGGCAGAATTTTCCCACGTTTCGCGAAAACGATGATCGTAACGATAACTTTCGAGGAAATTATACATTCTCTTCTTCCACTTCCTTACATCGATGTAATTTCGATAAAAGGTTTAAAAATAGCATCGTAATAATATAAATATTTTGCGTTGTTCAGCAACCTGATACCAAGAACCCTAGGACTGCACGAACCGCGTCGCTAATAATAAATACGCTCGCCATTATTGGACATGTTTCCCAAAGAGTTGTATAACAGTAATTACGAGTCTCCCGGGGGAACGATACCCGTTTCCCTATAGTTAATTGCGAATCGTAACGCATTTATTAGCACGCTTGATCGCCGCGTTTTCTAATCGAATCTCGCGAGGTGGATGAATCGTTCAAAACCGCCAAAAAGATCCACCCGGGGGGAGTACGAAGATTAAAAAATTGACGATCGTTTTTCGTCGCGATGCACGCGACAATCCGTTGGAAATAAATTCTCCAAGGAACTGGATTAAAAGTCGGACAAAGCGTATCGATAGTTTATGGCAGCAATATCGCCGGGGAACCGTTGATCGATAAGCCGCGTCGATGCTCGTTCTTCGAGGCTTTACGAGGCAATAAACGCGGAGATTAAAACGTTCTTGTCGGTGTTGGCGAAATCGGTGAAATTTTACTTTATTATTTTGGTACCGATCGATCCAGAAACCCCGATAAACGCTTCGATAGTGAACGAATGTACGTTTCTCCGACGATCGCGACGTACGGTTCTTAACGAATTCGTAAGACAAACATTAAGTTTTAAACGCGGAGGGGGACATTAACAAGTGGCTGGCTCGACGCGTAATTCATAATGGCCGGGGAAAAGCGAGGCACGCACCATTCGTCGCGAAGCTCTTTAATCCTCCAACACACCGTGAAACTTCTCAACGACAGGTTTTCCTCCACTCTGACTTTCCTTCAAAGCATGTTCCTCGCCCCTATAAATGCACGAGCTGCCATGATACACGCGGCGTCAAATTTTTAACCGACGCACAATAGCGTTTCCGCCGACGAAAAATAAAACTGGACGTTGACGCGAAACGGAAACACGCGCCTCCAACGCGTGACACAATTGTGCATTTCGTAATTCGTGACCGAGATACGTCTTCTCGGTCCAGGAGTTTCCGGAAAATATACAACGAAATTTCACATTTTCTACGTATTTTCGAACGAGGACTCTCTAAATAATAAATAAATGTCTCTCGACAATTTATACTTTGTTACCGTGGCTTCTAATTTTACTTCGGTGACAAATTCACGTTCGAGCCCATATTTCACTACATTGACACAAAATTTGTGTAACGCATATTTCTTCTGGAGATAGTATTTTCTCGTACAGATTTATGGGTCCATAGAAACGGTATGGCTTTAATGTTGCGCGATTTATAAGCACTTAAACAGGAGGGTCTCGAGGGGCAATTTTTTTACAAAAAACCTTTCTTGCATGACCTTTATAACACGTAGCTATATAAAAAAGTAAAAAATGAAAAAATTTCTAGCATCATGATTTCTATCTAGTCTGAAGATACTATCAAGAAAACATAAACTTGCTAATAAATATACCCCTGTCAGTATTCCAAGAAACCTTCACGATGTCAAAATAATTATTTCAATGGAAGGTGAGATCGAAACCGACGTTGCATCTGGTTCGAAGGGTTCGATCAAAACATTCGTGGACGATATCGGCACCGTTTTCACACGGTTGCTTGGTAATTATCACGTCGCGCTATCGATCTTCGTAGTTCTGTTCTCGAAATGCGTACGTCTGGTGTCCCGTTGGTCTATGTGGAACACGCGGTATCGCTTATCGCGATGGGAAAATGCGTTACGTTGCCGACGTATCGATCCCGCTGCAAAACGTTCGCGGTAGCGAGTTTACGTGTTTATCCATGGGGAACATCGGGCACCCGGGTGGGTCAAGATTAGAGACTGTCATCACCTACGACCAAGAACAAAAGACCGCCCATCGGGCGCTGATTCCGGCTTTTGCTCGATATTAGGCGATATTACGGCCCCGCGAATCCGTCCAGAATCAAACGAGTACAAAAATCGATCGCCTGTGTCGCGATAAATCGTGACTCGGTTCTTTTTGGCGGCAGATTTACTAGTTCGAAAAGAGGAAAAAGTTCGCCCAGTTTCCCGGTCTAATGAATTTCCAGGAGATCCCTTTTTGCCGAATTACCCCGTTTCCTAAAACGATTCGGATCTCCGAAAACAGCGAAAACAGCGAAAACAGCGACTTCGCGACGAGCAAGACCAACGAGAAACTTCCTTACGAGGATTGCGAATTCCCGATTGTTTCCTAATTGAACCTGAAACTGCTAAACGACTCTCACGCGTTACGATCTATGCAGCAGCCAAACTGGAAATTGGACATAGTGCAATTTATCGCGAGACTCTTCCAACGAAACTTGTAACGTTGATCGAATTATAGAACGAAACGTATGTTTTCCTTGCACTTTATTTTCGTCGTTAATTCCCCGGCGAACGGACGAACGTTTCTTCCGAGATAATCCGTAGTGAATAATTTTCTGTGCTGTTTGTAGATTCATATGATTTCCCCGACCGTCTACCCTAACAGACTGCCATTCGCGCATTAATCCCGGCTTAGCCCGCGCGGGATTACAAATATTAATCGGTCCAAATAAATCTCGTTTGACGGAACTGCGAAACGTTACACCGAACAAAATGTAATTCGCAAAAGTTGTTAAAGCGGACGAATCTCTGTCAGCTGGGGACGAGTAAATAATTCCTTTAATTCGACACTTCTTTGGCCGCAAAGTTCTTCGTTAAGCTAGTAATATTCCCTGTTGCACCGCGAGATTAGAGTCTTCCGTTGCTTTAATCCCGCTTGAGGGAGCTTTCGCCTTTCGAGTACGTAAAACAGAGGGATTTTTCGGAATTCTTTTCAACAACTTCGCTCGACGGATTATTCTTAGCGTTAAAGCGACCGTGCGTTACGCAACGATGCGTAGAAAAAGAAAAACAAGTCCTACGAGACATACTTGAAGATATATTTTCAAGACACTGAACTTGCAAACAAAAGCAAATTCGATGTTTTGATCGTTTCCAAATGACAGAAAAAGTCCCTTAAATAGAGATTTGCTCAAGAGGCAGAAGAGTCGGCCAAGAAAGTTTTGTTCGTATCAATGTAGTAACGCTATTAAACTCTGCAGACCGATCGATACGACATTCGACGCGTGTGGTTCGTCCAGCTTTATCAGTAGAAACGCGAATATCTATCTGTCTATCTGTAGGTGGATCAATCGGTTTCGTTGGCCACCGTTACCCGCCGCAAACTCGTCTCGCGTCAAACGTTCCAAAGTTTTAACGACCCCCGCTCGCACATCGATTCTTAAAACCGCTCAATCCTCTCGATACATTGCAATATAAAAAAAAAATTATTTTCCATACAGACTCAACTAGCTCCGAAACGTAATGGGCATGGTTACGAATAAAAAAAGAAGAACAAACAATTCAATGGACGCGTTAACGCGTTGGAAAATTGTTATTGTCGGAGAAACGTTTCTTGGGGTAGTATCAAGACGGACGCGTTCTCGAATGGCGGTGACGCACAAAGTGAGAGATCGCCTGTAACGTGATACGGACGGTGTATCATCTCTCCTCTTTCATAACCTTTTTATATTTCGCGCACAAAAGAGCTGTAACCCCGCGCAGACACTGTAATAACTGTCGTCTTCTTCGGCCATTACTCGCGACCAGCTTCCAAAGGATCCGTTCGCGCCTCGTAAAAATTGTAAAAAAAAGAGAGAAAAGGGGATGTTTTAACGACGAATACTTCACGGTACCGGAGGACCGTTTTACCGCCCTTTACTTTTCGATTTTCTCTTTTACGTTCGACCGACAAGTCCTCTTTCACGAATTCCCGTTTTATAGAAATACCTGGGCACAAATGATGAAAGGTAGGCATCAGATCCGTCGCCGTTTCAGTCTACAACCGTCGTCCTTGAAGGAGGGACAAGAAGATGGAACGACGAAGCACGCTAGGTAAGGAAACGTACACTTTGTAGTGTTTTTTTTTTAAAAAAAAAAAAGAAAAAAAAAAGAACCTTTAGTATAGTAGAAATTCTACCGGTGTAAATCGAATTCAACGGGACCCGATAGAATTTTTTCTCGTCGGAGAATATCGCGAGTTCTCTATTCTTTGAAAGTTGCATCAACCCCCTCGAGAAACGAACGAAACGCCTGGTAAAGGAAGAAAAATGCATCGTTTCGCGGTACGCGAAACACATTCCGGCCTTCAACCGTTAACTCTCTCTTTCGCCTTTTCTCTTTCCGGGTCGGCCCTCCTCGTCCCTGGCCTCCTCTTGACTCGCTCTTAGGGCGGACCCGTGCTTTAATTTTGCGGCGAGTCTTCGCAAAAAGGGAAGCTCGGTGCTCCTCCTTTGTGCAGCCGGTAATAACCGTGGCTGACTCCTTCTTGTAATAAGCGTGGATGATTACGAAGACGAAGATACTTAGAAACAGTTGTTATCTGGTGCATGCAAAAGCGAAGGAGCACAGGGAAGAGATATTCCAGGGAGTAATGATGGCTCGAATTTAGGACACCCCCACACGAAACGAGTATTGAATAACGCGTGGCGTCGGTGAAAGAGATCGTTAGCGTTCATTGGCGCTATTCTCTTCGTCGGGCTGTTGTCCTCTTAAACACAGGACACTTCCCGAGCTCTTTTATTTCTGCCGTCTGGCCTCGTTCGAGAAAAATCGACGATTTAGGGGGATCGAAGAACAATGCGGAAAGAATTCCTACGTTTCTGTTCGCGATTTTGGTACGTCGCCGCGATAGACTTGGCTCGTCTTCGCGGCGCCCGATTAAGACGCGAAACCCGTCGGTGGAAACGTGGCTTTATTTTCCAATTTTCGATCGATCTGTTCCCAGAAACGAGGGACTATCGGAATCGGACAGCGGCGGCGGAAAACCGGCGGAAAGTTCCATCAGGCACAAGATCGTCGTGATGGGCGCCGCGAAGGTCGGGAAATCGGCCATCATAAATCAGTTCCTTTACAACACATTCACGCCCAAGTACAAGCGAACGGTGGAGGAGATGCATCACGGCGATTTCAACGTTTCCGGGATACAACTGACGCTGGACATCTTGGACACGTCCGGCTCGTACGAGTTCCCCGCCATGAGAGACCTCTCCATCAAGTCCGCGGACGCTTTTATACTCGTATACGACGTAAACGACGCCAACACGTTCCTCGAGGTCGAGACTCTCAAGGCGCAGATCTGCAGCACGAAGGGCGCGGTCCCTATCGTCGTCGTCGGCAACAAAGTCGACCTGGTCGACTCCAAACAAGAGGTAACTACTTGCGATCGAGAAAATCTTTAAACTAACTTCCATTTATGTTTCGTTTGGAAAGACAACCTTGAATTAGAATCTACAAATCAATGTTTCAAACCTGTATCTAGTTTTACAACGAATCGATCGCGAATATAATTTGCCCGACTGTGTTGGACTTAAGGGGGGAGACTCGTATGAAATGGTAAAACGAGAGGTTTCATGAAACTTTTCGCCGCTTTCCACGTGTATTCTTTAACGTGTCAAGATACTTTGGATGAAATAAAAACAAAGTCTCGATTTGGTGGACAATTTGAGAGGTCAGGTCTGGCAGTCGACGCGTTTAGGGGCGCCATTTTGGTGAACGCTGTTATAAACTGAGTTTCTATCGCAGGTGGACCCCGAGAGCACCAGAGAGCTCGTCACGATGAAGTGGGAAAACGGATTCGTCGAGGTGTCGGCGAAGGATAACACCAACGTGTCTCTGGTGTTCAAAGAGTTACTGATCCAGGCGAAGCTGAAGTACAACTTGAGCCCGGCGCTGCAACGGCGTCGACGGCAGTCGTTGCCGCCGCCGCAACATTTAAATTCTCGCAGCAGCAGCGCCCACGTGCCGTCGCCGGCGCAGCTGCAGCATTTGCAGCAGATCCGCAAACGATCAGAGTCCAAGAGGAATTCCTGCATTCTCTCGTAAAGGAGCCCCCCTTCGATGCAACGTTTCTGCCGATTTCAACGAGAAATGGCGTCGATGAGAACGAAGAGAGGAAGATGGGGATGGGAACTATGCCCGTCGACGATTCAACAGGAATCGATCGACGTTCCCTGTCCGACAGCGATCGATCGTCGAAGGAATTAGACGACCCAGAGACGTCCGAGGCGAAACGATAAAGCCGGCTTTCCGTGGAACGCGGTAATTTCTTCTTCGATTGTTCCGAGAAGCGAGGAGACTCGACGTTACGACCGTATCGGTATTCCACGATTTAACTTCTAGGGGAACTTTCATCGTAGAGGCGGCCTCCAGTTCGATTCACCAGGAATTTTAACATTTCCTACGGTCGTTCGCGTACAATAAAGTTTTGTAGAACGAGCACACTTGTATTCGAGAAGGAACGATTTTGTCCCTAGGAACTTCGAAGGATTAGCACGAACGAAGAAAGATAACTTAATGTTCGTTGTTCTACTTGATACTCGATGTATCTGTTTCCGTCTTTGGCTAAAAAGAAACATTTCTTCGTTGTAACGACTACGACGAGTTTCTCCTTGAACATAATTCTTCCTTTTTTTTTTATATATAAAGATCCATTTAAATTGTCTCTCGCGAAAAGAGTTGCAATTATATTCCATCTACAGATTTAATACCGATATATTGTAAACGACCCCAAAACGGTGTATTCACCGGGTTCGAAGACATTATTCCGAATTATAGAAGCGTAGAATCCCATTTTTACAGGTGTTCCAAAGTATCCTATGGAAATATCCTATTTCAGGGTTGTCTCCCACTGCCCAGTCACTATCGTATATTATCCATTACGAGCAAATGTCCAAGAAACGTTTTGTAAATTATCGTTTACCAGTCGATTGAATTTGCATTAAACGATTGCTTGCGTATACGATTTATTTGAACGGGTCGTAACAACCACTGTATTCGTTAATTATAAAATAATCTATCTCCGAAGAGAAGTATTGCAATGTATAAAACGCGGTTCTCCCGTTCAAGCGAAATATCGAATTATTTGTCAATTAAAATATATACAAATGTAAAATTATTGTACACGATTGCCTTGCCCCAGCCTGAGTTACTGTAAATACAATAACGTTCGGGCAAAAAAAACTAACTCTGTTCGATCGCAGATAGCTTTTTAAATAGTGTTTATTATGCGTGGCAAATATTTAAATAAACTAACGTGTACATTGTAATTTCTGTTAATACTGTCGCACGATGTCTAGTAATGGCAATGCATCTATAAACGAACTTTAAGAAAACTTTGTGCAACGATTATTGATTTTAAGATTAGGTGCAGAATGTGTTAATTAAAATTATTAAACGATATGTAACGATGTCGTTCAAAAGAGTGTCATCTTTGTATTATTATACATATATACTATATAAATACTTCGTTATACATACAATATAGAAAGTCTATGTAAATAACAGAACATTGTGATGTGGGTATCTCGTCGAATCGAAACCCACATTGGGTATAATTTTACATAAATATACATATAACTATGACAGTCACGGGCGTGTCCCGTTATCTACGTAATTAATGATTACGAAATATCGTACGTCACGATAAGAGAACAAATCTAACTGAATGTAAAACCGCGTTCGAGCGTGAACTTACCGACTGTTCGAAAATCTACATGTATAGCCGATACCTTTGCTGAATTACTGCATTTAACTGAACTCGCAAATCACGTTAATCGGTGTCACTTAGACTTAATTCTGTCTAGTTAATCGATTCAACAAACAAACATCAAATATGCAAATCCGAAATTATACACGCGAATACTAGAATTTGCCGTACACGAAACTCGTCAAGCCACACACAACGCGACTGTAACTATTTCTAGCTTAGTTCCAGATAAAAATATGTGGTAACAAAGTACAAGTAGTGTAAGACCCTCGACTTTGTATCATTGCATTACCAGGAATTAAATAAAAGGCGTGTGTCATAGTCAACTTCCACGAAAACTGCTCTCGTTTCGCTCTCCTATTCACCTAAAACCTGATACGATTCATTTTTAGTACTCGAGAAACAATGATTTGTCTCGATAGTTTGTCTCAATTCCAACGATAGTGATAGGGAAAAAATAAAGGGACCCCTCTATAGCATATCTCGTCTTTTATGACACCAAATCCCACAAAACGGAATACCCACTCCATCTATGCTTGAATATCTTCTTGAACATCAGTCGCAAACTTATTATACGCAAGGTAAGGAAAATACCCTATTTCTGTGTCACCCGGTACATTACCGACAGTCCATAGAAAGCGACCATGGCGCTTACTATGGTGGGAAATGGAATTACAAGAATTCTTTTGTATTTGTAACGGAGTGAAAGCTGTACGATCGATGGGCATTGATCGATTGATTTCTAAACTATAACGCTATCAACTATAAGAATTAAAACCAAGATTTGATAAACGATCGAAGAATTGATCGCTCCGAATCAAATCAAGAAGCTAAACTACATGAGGAATATGGCAGCCATTAGCTCATATTACTTACTATGTAATTAATTATTAAATAATTATATTATAGAGTAACAAGCGATAAAATTAATTACATAGTAAATAATATGACCCAGGTCTCACCACGTGGAGGTTGCTGCGAATGGAGACCCCCCCTAGCCTCGCCCCAGCCACCCAACCTTTGGCGAGGAATCCTAACTGACAGAGTTGGATATTTTCTCCTAAGAGAAAAGCTATCTAAATTCGAATCACAAAGGAAGAGTTTACTGAAGAGTTGTCTGATGAACAGACCAAAAAAACTAACAAAATCGCGGTACATGTGAGACAGTCCACCACATGTTTTCTGGAAACGAAATACGAATGAATGTTCAACAGCACGTACGAAACCAGGCTATTAAAATAGCAATATGCGTCTTGATATTAATTGCTCCAAATCAAATGGATGCATTATATGTCGATAGTGCCTCACAAGACACTGAGGAATGGAGTAGGAAAGTGCAACTGCACGTATGAACCTTGCTTAGTAAAATACCAATGTGCACCTTAATAGTAATTGTTCCTATTTAAACGTACGTTTCGATTTCTGTAGTACTTATTACGACACCGGAATAGTCGCATATTTATCTTACAATCTATATACATTTGTACTTAATTCTAACGCAACGCAATCTGCAAAAAACATGAAGTACGAGAAGATATTTTCTTCATGGCGTCTTCGTTAATCCCACGATGTTTTGCTAAAACAAACTCATATACAATAGATAGAAATCACATAAAATAAAGAAATACGAGATGATATTTTCTGTTTCCTGTTTTTGTTAATCCTACGATGTTTTCCTGAAACATAAAACCAGATAATAAATAACTATTAAATAGTTGCTTCCCTAAGAACGATCAAGCTTGAATCCCATATCTTGTAGTAACTTTGACCATTAATTATTTCAAATTCCATTCATCTATGCTTCTATACTCTGTAAACAGAACTTACTCAAAGCATTAGTAAGCTGAAATAAAAATGTATTAGTGGATAAAAAAAAAATAATTATGTACTAGTACAATTGATATTATAAAATTAATATTTGAATCAGATTTTCCACGAGCAAAAATTGATGTTACAAAATTTGGAAACATAAATATTACGTAATCGAAATTTAATGGAAAATTAAGTTTATCTCAGTGTTAAGATAAATACCGAATAAATTTCTCTCTTGATATAATAAAATGTATGTATTGCAATAATTATATTTCACTGTATCGAAAACTAAATTAGATTCATAGAAAAAAATCAATAACGTACACAGATGTCGATTCAACACGGAAATGAACTCTCAATATGAAATATCGAATTGCAATTTGCATGCTCTTTTGATGCAAGCATTTTATTTTACATCGATTGAAACAATAATTCATATAACAATTTTAATTCATGCAAAGAATTCCGAATATTTATAAAAAAATCCACTATTTATAAATAAATATTACGGTTGAATTAAATCTACGATCAATTTAATCATAATATATCATTTTTACATGCATCACAAATCTGTGACAAACATGTACACGTAAAAATTACAGATTTTACGCGTTATGAAAAATGAAACATTTCGTCTATATACAACAATCCTATCAAGCAGTATTTCCATTGTCAAATATAAAAAAAAAAGATATATTCTACATAATTAGAGTAAACGTCCACTGATAAATGTAAAAAAGAACCCGTGAATGGACCATTCTTTCTTTCGCAACTCTAATTTATAAAATAAAAAAGTATACGCGAGTGGTGCTTATTGTTCGAAAAATGAACCACGCAGGGTGGCTTTATTAATTATATCGCGTGCACCCATGTTCAATAATACGCAACACTACTTTAGATAATAACGTTGAGCCTTCTGAGGCTTTGTAGAATAGCAGCTTCTTCGTGATGATCTTGAGGCAGTGGCCAGCATCAAATTTTGGGCAATGAATCGCAACTCTAATTAATAAAAACGCGATAAATCCAGATCGCAACGCTAATTTATAATAGAAAAATTCCAAACGCGATTTATAAGAGTAAAAGCAACCACGAATGGTAATTATTCGCAACACTACCCTGAAAAGCAAGCGCGAAAAATAGTAATTCGCGACGCTAAGAGCAAACCGATCAGTGCATTCGCAACACTATTCTTAAATAACAATAAAAGCAATCGCGTATTGTATTCGCGACACTACCCTGAAAAAGAAACGCGAAAAATAGGAATTCGCAACTCTACGAACAAACGCGATTATTGTGTATTCGCAACTCTAGTGAAAATATTATACTTATGTCTCGCAACTCTAATAAAAATCGCGTTCTGCCCAAAATAGCTGGACCTGGTGCTGGTGTCTTCCGTGTAGATACAAATACACATGCATAAAATAGACTATCTACTGCAAACTACTATTAACTACAGTGGCATGTGCTGGGATGAAGTTAGATGTTTTAAATATCGCAACACTACGGGGAAAGCAACGCGATAAATCAACAATCGCAACGCTAATTTATAATAGAAAAATTCCAAACGCGA